TGACAGATTTCCGATCTGTCAAAATCAAGATAACACCCAATTAATAATTGGGCTCCACCACATAACTATAAATACATACTTTAGGTAATTACAGCACTACCCCTAGCTTGGCTTACCCAAAGCCGAAACCCAATCCACAGGCCCAAAGTCAACTAGGGATGAAAGCCCAACATATGGCCCAAATTTCCAAATTGGGCCCAAACCTCCACATTGGCTTCCCTTAAGGCCCAATTGTCCAATCCAGTACAACATGTCCTATTTTAAGGCCCCAATATCACACAACCCACTAGGCCCAAACTATGGCCCAATTTTACAAATTGGGCCCAATCCTTCATATGGGCCTTACCCTAAGCCCAACTAATTACTCTAGTCCATTTGATTATTCTTGGATGGCCCATTAATAAACCAATTACCAATTACCCAATTGAAAAGCCCAACTCAAGGCCCATTTGACATTAGGGTTTCATATGAAATGAAAATTAGGGTTAAGTGTTTCTCACTTAACCCATTAAGGGCTTAACCCACTAAGGACTTAATCCATTAAGTCCTATATTGTTTAGATTAATTTCTGGCAATGATTATTATTTAATATTTTAGTTATTAAATAATTCTTGTGTGTGTGTCCGATAATTTCTCAAATATTAGGATTTTCTCAATTAGTCCATTAAGGAATTAGTCCATTAAGTCCTTTACTTTACTAGATAAATGCCATGGAATACTTTGGACTTAATTCACAATCCAATCCCAATGGCCCAAAAGTGGGTCTAATAAGTCCAAGGCCCAAAGACTCACAATTAGGGTTTTCATCCAACCATGGCCCAATAGGCCCAAAACAAATCTCTAAGCCCATTAGCGTTTGCTAGTGGGGCACCACCCACTACCACCTCGGGTAGTGGTGGTCAATGGCGGTTCACGGCAGCGGACACCACCTCACGGTGGTGGTTTGGTTCATTTTCATTATTCCAAATTCAAATTACATTTTACAAAGCTAACTCAATTAACCACACACACAGACACACTAAATTAATCACACACACAACCATACTGTGGTGGCCGACGGTGGCTCGCAGGAGCAGCCACCACCTCGCAGTGGTAGTGACTCTTCTTCTCACTTTTCCGACCAAGCATGGTAGACACACTAAGAACAATACTCTTCTATACTCGAGAAATGGATCCAAAACTCCCACCTATGGTGGTCGGAGGTGGTAAAAACGTCGACATTGCTTTGACAGCCACCACCTCGCAGTGGTTGTGGTGTTTGCTGATGATGCACTGCCTAGCAACACCTTAACCCCGACTTTCATGTCGTCAGGTGCAAGGTGCTACACCCACGCTGGCAGAAGAAGAACAAGGTAGGTTCACAACTCCGACAAGGGCAGCAATGGAGGGTGCTCCATCTTCATTGGGTAAGGAAGCGACGGTGGCAGTGCTGAGGTTGTTGGCGGCCTTCGCTGCTCGCGAAAAGTAATGGTGGGATCGCGATGGCGGAGGAAGGATAGTAGCGGCTTCGGTTGTCTACTTCCGATCGTTCACGGCTCTACTGGCGGCAGCAGATGATGGGATGATGTCGTTTACCGATGGGGTAGTAGGTGGGACTGGGCTGTCGGGCTTGGTGACGCAAATGGTGGTTGAGGAGGCTCCAATGGTAGAAACGAATACCGGAATGAAAGAGATAGCGGCTGTAGTTCTTGCGCTAGGATTAGGGTTTGAACCCTTAAATACCCGTCTCCATACATAAGTTTGCCATAATATCAAGATCAACCCTATTCGTCAAATAAAGACCATATGTTACCTTTTAAACCCAAAATTTCTAAACTCTTTACAATGAAGTCTAAAATTACCATTTAGCCCTTGCTTCTCATAATCTATCCATCTTAAGTCCCGATAATTTACCACGTGGTCCTTACCTTGATAAATACTCATAAAACTAATCCGGAACTAACAATTTTAATCTCTGAATTCTAAAATTCTTCACAAATTAGTCTGAGACTTATATTTATTAATTTATTTAAATAAACGGGGCGTTACAACTCTCCCCCACATAAACTAGATTTCATCCTCGAAATCATTCCTTACGCGTTAACTATTCAAGTAACATGGCCATAATCCTGGGCACACCCTAGCCTTCTCAGGGTAACCGTGACCAATCTTTGCAAAGCCTTGAATTCCACTGGTGAACGGATTCCTCGCAATAGATAACATCTACTTTATCTAATATCTGATGTCTTGACATGGTTTGAATCCCTGGCAGACCGCCCATACTGAAATCATTATCGTCGCACCCAGTCCACTTGTCTCTCAGCTGCTTACTTAACTTCTGACAACTCGAGGTTCCCACTAGCAAACAAAATCATAGATCTACTTATCCGTGTGATTCACTTATACTTGGCCAAAAATCAGATAATCCTGTCGTAAGTGACTTAGTATAACCTAAGCTATCTGTGACTCTAACCGCACATAAAATCCCCTAATATTGTTACTGCCTGAAACACTGACTGTCTGAACACTAAACTGTCTGAAACACGGAACTGCTTGCAACACTGGACTGCCTGAAATCGCATGCTGCTACATGGTTGATTCCCAAAATCTATCGAGACCCTCTTGGTCTCAATTCATTCATCATTCATCTGAAGTACTGGGTTCCAGCTCAGTTGTAGAGCCAAAGGACTCCCACTTAGTCACCTCGCACGATTTCTGAACGACATCCTTCTCTAGAACTAGTTGCCACTAGTTACCATACCACTGAGGCTGTAATAACTTTCTGATCTAATTGATCGAGTCCATACTTCGAATCCCGACGTCACCAAACCGAAGGCTAAAAGCGATTGCTACATGACCATTGGTAGCCTTACGTCAAGAATGACCTTAAGTAGTCCACTGCTTCCTTGCTCTCATAGTTTTAGTGGCGCTTCCACAGTCTTACCACCGGCTTAACCAGGTCTAATCAATCTTGGTAATTCCAAAATCCAATCCATGGATTTCTATATCTTCACTGCTTCACCCGAACTAGTGGGTACTACTGTTCCTTTCGTGTCCTAACAATGCACTCACGCTATCTACCAACCTAGTGAATGCTACTACTACACCCAGAGACTTACAACACTCGATCATTATCTGACTGCTAGTAAATTCTATGGCTACACCAGCACGCAACTGTATTCATGTCCTGACTGGAATCCCCAACCTGATTCCCTAAGGCTTGCTAGCAAACATTACGGGGACACGATCTCCTTATTGGCAAGTTTTTCTGAACTTCCACCTCACAGTATCCTCAAATCATACAACCACTTGGGATTTTTTCCTTCTTCACAAGGATGTGAAACTTATCTTATCTTCATAACCACTCTTGCTTCGGAATCCTTGGGTGATTCTCCGCCACTTTGATTATGCTAATTCCCTACAGCACCCAAAACTGGAAAAATTCTAAATTGTTCCTACCCTCCCATGACCAATCTACTAGAACTCACGCTTATCCTTGCAAGGGTTTCAACACCAGCTAATCCAAAAGATCACACAACTTATAAAAAAAATCTGAATAAATCTCTGGGAACAACCTGCTAGACCCAGGAAGCTCCGAATCTAAATTAGAGACCTCGGAATCTCCCACTGCATCACGACCTCTACAGCCAAAACGACTAGAATACCCTTCTGATTGACAAGGTGCCCAAGAAAATGCACCTCACGCAACCAGAGCTCACATTTGGAGTACCTTGCAAAAGGTCCTCCTTCCTTAAAGTCTCTAGCACCTCCCTCATGTGCTTCTCGTGATGCTCCTCAGTTTGGAATAAACCAAGATAATGTTCTACTCTCCCCATCCTCCAATTTGGGATATGACCTTTCGCTATCGGCTAAAATTTCTCGATATGCAATTAGCATATGCCATTTCTTGGAAGTATACTTCAAACACAAACATATGATAACCCAAATTTACACTTACTCAAACCCCTAGAACGAAAGACTCTATCGTGTAGTTTCCCGCATGTGTTGTACTCAATCTAACCCTGCTGGTCTCACAAAAGCTGATCCAAAATCTAGGGTCTCCTCCTGAGACCCCTCAATATATGCAACTGATCTGAATCCCTCATAGCAATATGCTCCAGGTCCATATCTCGTTCTGAAGCTCAAGATGTCTTATCATTCAGGGTCTTGCACCCCGATATACTCATGATCTCCAAGCTATCATTCTACAGTATGTTCTAATAACTTACCTTCTTCATTTCCTCATCTGTTGCATATTGCGGTACCATATAAGCTCTTTCTCGAGACTTGGCAGTGATCTCTGCCACAATCTCAGTCATCTAGTGGAGATCTAACATCTCTTATGCCAATTTTTGCGCCTCAATCGCCTGGGCACACTCTTCCCAGAATCTAGTCTAAAGTCATCCCATAACATAGCGTCAACCGCATCATCAATCGACTCACTACCAACCTCTTCCTGTCAATCTCGTGCTCTATCCCACAAGAGACAGGAAGTAAGTCAGATCTTGTCTCCTTTCGAGACAACATCTGGTACTAAAAGTGTTGGTGACATCTGTCAACCATTTGCTGCTAACAACGGGGTCACTAATCCCCATGACAATCTAAAGCCTCACAAACTCTGAATTCCCGAAACATCAATGTACGGTTCCCTATCGTGATTGTTATCTTAATGCAGAATGCACTCGGCCTCTCATCACAAATCTCTATAATGCCCCCTTGATCATACTGAGAAGCACAGGAGTCTGGCCAATGATACTGTGCATGATCTCATATGGAATGAACTCCCTCATCTGATCATCGAGTTGCCCGACTACAGAGTTCGAGCCTGATCCCTCGTCGACACCAGAACTACCATCTAGTCTACCACATAGTATCACTATACTTGGCAATATACTATCAGTAACATCACAATACTTCTCAAAACTAGAGGGATCTTCACAAACTACAAGTTTCCTGGATTCATCTCAGTCTTCCTTGATTCGAGTATGGATCCTATGCTTTCAGTAGTACGGCCCATACTACCTTCCACATCTATCCGTACTTTCCTGAAGAACTGCCTCAACTCCACCAAGTCACTACTACTGCTACTAATCTCTGCTACTCTCATCCTAGGCTTGCCTTAGGGGAAATCTTTGACTCAACCATAACTAGTCCTCAGCTGCTAAAGGCCTCCTTGTAATGCCAATTAGTCATCACCTGAATACCATCACATGTGACGATGCTCAGATAATCCTTCGAGTAAAAGAATCGTTCCTACAACGGTTAGACTCAAACAAGAGCTATGCAGTATGTCCAAATCCAGCACTCTGAGATTATTCAACCCTAATCACATGTGATGTGACGTATTCACCTAATGGTTAACTCCCATCACTCGGAATCCCACAAAGCACAAAGCAAGCATCATTCGGACACAAGAAACTACTCAAGCAATTCTAACCTCATAACAAGAAATTGTACTAGCATACAATGCTAAGCTCATACTATCAACCATAACCTAAACATGCTATCCTACTGCTGTGTACTCAATACTAGCATCAAATTCTCATAAAGCTGAAACACATATAGCAAGCACATAAGGCATCCTCCTAGATCCTTAGTCCTATTCTAGCATGTTGTTCTACTTAAACTAAAACAAATAATCATAATATAAACTTGTATGGGTAATTTGGGAGTACTTACTTGAGCTTGGCTGATTGCATGCACCACACCCTTTTTCCTTTTTAAAAATTCTTTTCGCTTTTTCTAAACTCTTTTCTTTATACTTTTTCTAAAATTGTTTTCTTTTCTCAAAATCCTTTTATAAACGTGGTTTTTCTCTTGAAAAATTTATACCACTTCCTTAGTTTGAGTTCACACACACCCGGAAGTATGCCCGAATCCCTCAAACCAAGGATCTGATACCAACTTGTAACATCCCAAAAACACAGTTTGAAAATTTCATTTAATTTAATAATAAATACCATAGTCGATACACCTCATATAAAAGTCATAAACGATGTATCTCAAAATATTATAACAATTATAAAGTATATCAGAGTATAAACATCGCATGCTGAACAAATGGTGTGTGCACTGCAATCTTCCCGAGCTCCTCTCTTGAAAACTGAGTACCTGAAACCAAAACAGAAACTGTAAGCACGAAGCATAGTGAGCTCCCCCAAACTACAACATACCATACAATCATATAAACACATATTGGGCCTTGCCCACTGCATTGAACCGAAGTCCGGAAGCTACATCCGATCGAAGTCCGGAACTAACCATGGCCTTGCCCTCTGCATCAGACCAAAATCTGGAAACTGCATCAGACCGAAATCCTAAACTATCTGGGACCTTGTCCCCTACATCAGACCGAATTCTGTAACTAACTCCATCGGATCAAATTCCAGAACTGATTTGGACCTTGTCCCTAGTATCGCACCGAAGCGCGGAAACTAACTGAGCATAACATAGCATAGCATAAACATAACAACTAGCATAAGCACATATACTGTATACTGCATCAGACAGAAGTCTGAAACACATAACACAAAACATGCTTGAATCACATAGACATCAAGCACACTGAACTATTGCATCAGACCAATGTCCGGAACTACTTCTAGCTAGACGGGCCGGTATTGTGGCCGTAGACCCTTTCCTACTGAAAGTAAACTCACCTCACACTACTGAAGTCCCGTTGACTAAAACCATAAACTACTGGATGACAGATTCCCGATCTGTCAATATCAAAATAACACCCAATTAATAACTGGGCTC